CAAATCATGGGATGACTCAAAGTAAGGCTATAAGAAGAATAAATGAAACAAATTGTAGTCGATTTGGGTTTCTTGTTTAGTGAATTTCGTTAAAGAATGGTTTCAAGCTCGTAAGATATCTGCTTCACATTCACCGAGATAATAGGGTTTATACACAGAAATCATTAGTACTACTTCTAAAAAATCCTTAACAGTTAAAGATGGGGCCAACTTACGAAGCACTTTCCAAATTTCAATACGTAATGAAATGTTTAAGGAAGTAGTTTCACAAAAATTCGACTAAAAACATATCAAAAATTAAAAAAACACCTGGAATCCAACTCAGAGTCATCCAAAGGTTCGCCAGTAGCTGCATCAATCGGGAAGCGGTCATAGGCAACAAGCATGTCGACCAGCTCACTGAACAAACGACTTTGCGGTTGCTGAAGACGAGTAAACTCAGCCGACTGACAACGGATCACAAAATGGCGATCGTCAAGAATAGCATGCAGGAAGCGGCGCGTCATCAGCATGCTTAGCAGATCAATGAAGAGGAGCAGACAACGCTCCAGATAGTGAGGAAGAAGTCGAGGTACGGCCTGAAGACAAAGCCATTAAATTTAAAATAATTGAGTATTAGTACATACCACCACACAGGTTGAGATAGAAAATATGAAACTTTAACGTGCATTAAGTGAGTAAACTCTGGGGAGACTTTCATTTCGAATGAGAGTACATGACGAAAAATTCATTGGTTGATCTCACCGGAAGATGGCCGATTCCCATTGATCTGCAGCCGCTTGGCTTTAATAGGGCCTTAAAGCAATCCAAGAGATATACCCCCTCGTTCCTGGTGAAGCCGTGTTAAGCTTTCATCCATCATATGATGGAAATCATCAGAGCTAAAACTCATTCTTTTAAAAATTTCGAGTTAACATTGGAAGACTGACAGAGTCTATTTTACGACTCATATGTATCAGAAACGAAAACATATGGACACAGAGAGATATAGAAAGATCAGGCTCGTGGTTCGTGACTCATCAACATTAACGTCAGGTCAAAGTCAAATAGAAAAATGGAAAATATTTTCGGGGACACTGCAATTGATCGACTGTAGACAAAAAGCCCAACAATTAAATTCAGAGTCATAACAAGAAATGCGGAAGTAAATGAGTGTAAACTGGGAAATCGACAAATTGACAAGGAGCAACTGACACTAATAGTAAACTATAAACACGGAGCAACACATATAGTAGCGAAATTTATCTGCCTCGAAGTAAAGAGAGTGAACGACAGATTATCGAATAGTGAAGAATTCATAAAAATTTTGCTAAAGAAGCAAAGCCACCAGTTGGGAGGGAAATGAAATATTGATTTGTTTTGATGTATAGCCCATGTAAACAAACAGCTTATGCCAAAAAGTACTCATGTCATTAATGGCACAAATGAAGATTTTGGAAGAAGATGACATCCCAGAGACGTAGCGAATCCGAAAATAGTTACTAATTCGATTAATCAACCTAGCAATAAGATATACCTCATGCATATTCATGGGCTGCATCTATGGAAAATATTTGGTCAACCTATGGGCTCACCACCCTCACCTCTTTTGGCTAATATGCACTGAATATTAAAACTTTATCTGAGCAGCCAGCAGTGACATGCGATAGTTGGATGGCTATTTCGCACACTGGCCGCATGAAAAAAAAGAAAACGATTTCCCAATCTCCTTAAACGAAATAGCTAAAAATTCAAATTTACTATCGATGTGGAAGATAATGGACACTTATCTTTCTTAGAGATGGAGGTCATTCGCTCAGAAGATACTCTCAAGAAACGAATCTTCAGAAAGAAATTACACATAGTAATAATCCTTAACTTCCAGTCTAACTATACATATGGAATGAAGATTGGAATACTTCGGAGTATGGTCATAAGAAGTCTAAGACTTATTGATTCTTTGTTCTGGGAAGAGAAACTGGAAAAACCAACTCAGATGTTTATTGGAAAAAGATATCCAGAAGAAGCGATAAAAGGCAACATACGGACGGGGATTATGAAAGAAAAGCAAAATGAAACAGGAAAAACGACGGATATGTCTAACCCTCTGCGAACTGGCTCGGAAGCTTCGGCCAATAATATTGAAGTGAAACATTTGTACAAGCCTGGAGGAAAGGACAACTATCTTCACTAGCTTGCCCGCAA